GAACCAAGGTCTTTGCAAATAGGGAAGGGTGGAGGGGGTGAAGGGAGGGCAATTGAAGGGAAAAAAAATAAGAACCAAGAGACTTATGTAATGGTACAAGATCCCAATGATGAATGTAACTGTATTTTATACCTAAAATGTACCAATAAAGTTAATGGGTGAAAAATACAAAAAAAAGCAGCTCTTACTCTTGATTTTTAAAGTCAGGGTTTGATATGCCAATCATTCTTACCCCTCAAATAATAGCATAATTATTTGTCAAAATAACGATCCATCCAGCGATCAACATGTTTAAAATCTAACAGTGTGCAAATCTCCATCCATATGTCCCATGTGCATGTGGTGTGACTGGAATACAGGTGGCGCTGTGACAGCACAGCACAGCTTTCCCATGGGTGTGTTTCAAGTGAGTCCAAATTTAGCCAATTTCTAAAACTGGAGAGAGCTTCTGGGTACACCTCAAGGCTGCCTATGAAAGTTCTCTTTCCAGTTGTTCTCTTGATCAGTTCGCTCAATCCTGATGCTCCAGTGATCACCTGTGTGTGGATAACTCCCAAAAATGTTGAAAGTAGGAACTCTTAACACATTCCAGTTCCACATTTCTGCTACTGTATTACTTGGGATTACCATCTGACTCTTCTAAATTCACTTGAATCCACTGGGTGTAAAATTGAGCCAGCATCTTCTCCACCTGGTCCAGGTTCACGTCCCCATCGGATGTTCTCTGCTATGTTACTGGTGTCAGCATGGCAGAGCTGCTGAGGCTGGAATCCCACACAGGCCTCACCTCACACTCAGCTGCCAATTCCCCAGCCAATACCTCCATCACATATCCTTTCCCATACCCTGTTTTCCATTTCCACTGCTTTTCTTTAATAAAGTTCTCTCACGAAAACTATACAGAGCCCCTTGCCTATACCTGCTTCCACATTTTATTGATTCTGTTTGCTGTTACTCTCAACTTTGTTCTCACCCTAAAATTTTCTGTACTGAAAGTTGAAGGTAAGGCTTTTCTCAGTTGGCTTCACCCTTGGGAAAACCCATGGCCAGTTAGCGCTCCTCACCCATCTCCACAGCCACAGTCCTCAGGTCATGGGAGGAAAGAAGACAGGAGTCATCTCAAGTTGTAGATTGTTCAATGAGCCTAACACAGATAGCAAAGCAGGAAGTAAATAATAAGGTATTTAAGATACAGTCCTTTTTGTAGAATTTTCTTTTCATTATAGAGGTTCAAAAAATTTATTTCAAATTAATAAGCTGCCATAAAACCAACATATTCAAACAACAACAATATGTTTGTTATCAATGGCACTACTAATTATATTCTTTTTCTATTTCTCTATCCCTTTAAGTTTTTAAAATAGGAAATTTGACAAAAGAATAGCTAAGTTTAGGAATCATGAATTGTTAAGGAGAAAGCATTTGATCTGGAATATGAAGATGTATTTGTTTTTCTATCTAAATTGTGGTCCACATTCTGAGCATCTCTGAGGTTGTATTCTTTCACATCCATATAATATGGATATAATATCTATCAATTATTTTCAAGAGTTACTGGTAGACTCTAATCAAATAGATATAAAATGATCAGAGGATCCCAAACTTGGCTAATCTTCCAAATTACTTCAAGCATCATCCCCAGAGATTTCAATGCTCAGGCTATCCAGATGATCTGACATTTGGAAACCGCATCATACAAATTATAAAATTCTACACAGGTGAAGGTTACTGTAATGCTAATCTTCATAGTCCATCAGTCACTATCATACCTGAGTCTTATAATGGGGTAGATCATCTTTGGTTTGCTTTTAGTTTTAGACTTTATGTAAGCTGTCATTCTGAGTAAAAAATCCAAAAACTTTTGATAAAAGGTTTTGAACTTTGGGCTAAAGGAAATCTTTCCTTCTGTCAGAGGGTTGATAAATGGACTTAGTCATTTTTATGTTTATATCATTCTGTAGTCTAACTTGACACCATAAACTCTATCTGCAGATTATTAAAGTTAATTTCCAGAAGCAAAATGTAGATCAGAAAATTCAGAAACAAAGATATTTTAAAGTTAATAAAGTGCATTGAAAGAAAAAACACTTCTCACTCTAATGCTGCTTTGTAGTTCTAATATCCTCTTTCAAAGAAATGTAAAGTTTTCATTACCTGGGCATTCACCATAATACAATGAGACATTTTTCCTGAGGCAGCTGATTTAATTTTATCTGTCACAATTGATATTGCAGTTTCAGTAAAGCATGATTTTTAAGGTGGTAGCTTAAATATAAAAATGAGCTATTGTAATCCAAATCAAGCATGGTACTAAAATTATTCCTAGCAATGAGAAATCACTAGAAATTACTTTGTTACATTCAACTGGAAATTATTGTAGAAAACTGCTTAGTCAAACAAGCAGTTAATCAGGAAAGAAGTCTAATGGTATCTTTCTTTGATTTATTAATATGATTACACATTATTTGACAAAGCATTCATTATATTGTGCTGACACATGAAACAAGTTCAAATGTATTTTGTTTAGAAATGGTCATGACAGACGATGATTCTTCATCATACTTTTTGGAAAAGAAAAGAAAAGAGTGCTTGGACACTAACTTGCACAGGTGCTTACAGTCCTCACTGCCCTGTCCTGGTCTCAGGTCTGGGCCCCCAGGTATCATGATGAGCCCTCAATTACTTTCTTCCACAGCTGTTGTCAGCGGCCTCCCTGTGATCTCACTGCATGAACTAATTTTAGCTTCTCTGTACAAAACTAACAAGGCATAGTGGATCATCATGCAGGGTTGGAGTTCAAACAGATTTGGCTCTAACGTTACCCCTTTCACATACTGGCTGTGTGACTCTCGATGGTTACTGACTTCTAAAAGACCTTGTTACTAAAAGTGTGTTCTGTACACCAACAACTTTAATGTTATTCGAGGAGTCACCCACAGCATGACAGTCAGAGCCTGCATTCTTTTTCTAAATTTTGCATTAAAATTTGAGAATCATTGCTATAAATCACAGTTTTCTTATTTGTAAAAATAAGGTTAATTAGGATTTTAAAAGATTCCTTTTGAAGGTTCTTGTTAGGATGAAGAATTCTTTTAGGATTATAAGGGTCTTAGTATAGTGCCTAAAGCATTGTTAGCCTAAAATAATATTTTTAATAATGTTCAAAAGCATCCTTTGAAATTTTCCTATTTTAAGAGATCTAATTCCCATTTTAAGAAAAATAATGTTTAAGGAATTTAGTAATTTCTTATGACCACATATTAGTAAATGAAGTCACCAAGACTTAAATCTCCATTCTGATGTACAATACAAATGTAGTCTCCTTATTTTCTGTGCCCACTATGATACTGTTTGTTCATAACGGGAGGAGGGTGGAAAGAAAAAACTTTGGCCCTTGTGTATGTATAATATCATAATGTGTTTTTGTTTGATAAATCGAAATGTTGTGTTAAATATGTTCCTCTTTCTTGCAAGATTCCTGTGAAGCTGGTATCCTACATTTGGAGGTACAAAGAAATGGGCTCCATGTTGGGCAGTGATGACTGAGTCTGATTCCTTGACCTAGAGCCCATGTTCTCACTGAGAAGTATGCTGTCTCCCATGGCTGAATCCGGACTCTCTCCTGCGTAGTCCCTGCACATGGCAGCTTTTCATCCTGACTCAGGCTGATTCTTTCCTTAGTGGATTTGTTTGGTTTTGCTATATTCCACACACATCCTATAGGGAATGAGGAACAAGACTTCAGACTCACCTATTCGGGCTGCCTTATTTCACCAAGACAGCTGTTCTCCTGCCCTGTCCTGTTGGCCCTGTTCTTGGGTTCCAAGCCGGGGGCTACTCTTCAACTTCATAACCAGCAGCTGCAAAGTGTCTCCTGTTGTTTATGCAAACAATTGCTCAGACTGTGTTATAATAACCAGCGGTCACGGTCCAAAGAAGCCTTAAGTACTCTGCTTTCTAATTCAGCCTGCACTTTTGCCAAACCAAGCAAAGAGCTGTTTCCATACAATCCTCCACATCCCCCAGCTCCACTTTGCCCATGGTGAACTGTTTGTCTAATCCACCCCAAAACAAAGTCCAACTTGTCCCAATAGTAGTTAAGACTCAGCTTTTGTCTTTATTACTTCTAACAGTAGTAATTTTTCCTCTTAACCTCTTTATTTGGGTGCTGTAGGGTAATAATCACGTCTTGTTCACAGACAGAACTGAAAGTTTTCTGAACACAAGATTAATGTTTTACGTATTTGTCTAAACCATTCCTACTCCCCTCTTCCATCAAGACTTTACCCAATGGTAAAGACTCAATGAATATTACTGAACAAATTAATTGCTCTTAGGAAGACTAGAAATTGGTTAATGTGGAAAAGGAAGAAGACAGTTTGCCAAAGAGCCATAGTTTTTTTTTTTTTTAACTTGAGAAACACTAGTTGAATCGCTTCATGTTATATTTAAAAACTGAAGCTCATGAAAGGATCCAAAATGAGGAGTAAGACAGACACTAGAAAAATTAAAATATTTGAAAGAGTGTATTTACTTACAATTACACCATAATATACAAACTGCTGCATTTTTCAAATGCTTATCCCAACATTACCTATGAGAATTAAAATTTTTACATATATAATCACAATTTACTTAAAGTAGCATTTTTATTCCATTTAATATTATTTTTTTGCTCTTTTTATCAATATTGTCATAACTAAAACTTTTTATAGTCACATAAATTTCATTAACATACCAGATAACTCCTGCTTTTCCATCATTTAGTTAAAACTAAAAAATAACTTCTAGTTATAGTATTTATTTATTCTTTAGTTGTTTCCAATGAGTAAATTACCAAGAATGAGTTTACTAAACTAAAATCTAAGAATATGTATACTATCAAACTCTTTTCAAAAGTATTAAGTTTTAAAAAGGATTCTGCTTTTAGAATCACCTATAAGGCATGTTATTACTAATTTAAATAGGAAAATGGTCTTTAAATCTTATATTAATCTATATTTTTCTGGTTATTAGTAATGCCCATTTCTACTAATTGTCTCTATCTTTTATCTTTATGTTTTTCTTAACATAAACATTAAGTATTTGTATTCTTTGATACAATTTTTTTTTGGTACAGGGAATCAAACTCGAGTCCTTGTGCTTTCGAGGCAGGCAGCAAAACCACTGAGCTAAATCCCCAGCCCCCTTCTTTGATATAATTTTTTATTAATCTCTTCTTGCCTTTCAAGAAACACCTGTCAAACTAGAGTTATAAACAAAAATATTGAATAAGAAAAAAACCAGAGTTGAGGCCATGGCGTTCTGTACCTTCTCACCTTCTGCTGCCCTCAGATCACTTAAGGTAATGTTTCCCAAATTGGGGTACAAGGTGTGATACTATGGGTGGAATATAAGATACTTTAAAATATAATGTAAAAATTAAAAAACCTAAAAAATCAATAATCTACATTTTTATTTTAATATA